GAAAATATCTTGCGAAAAGCGTAACGTAATAATAACGCGAGTAATTTGCTTCAAAGGTTCGGAATGAATACGAGATAGCAATACGTGCAGGATGGAGAAAAAATTCAAACTTCCAAGAATTGCAGTGCAGCAGCGAAAGAGATCGACGGGAAGCTACTAAAATAAGTCTTTTAGGAAGGAAATTTCATAAAGTTGCCAGCGGAAGATTTTAAGGAATTATTTAAAGGAATTCGAAGAAAACTAAGGTCACAGAGGGATCTCGAAAGTAAGTTTACACGGAATACTGCGAAGAAAAGTTCAAAAAAATCCTCAGAAAGTTTCGAAACCTTCGAGGAATGCTGGAAGAAGATTACAAGAAACTTTTCAAGACATTACCGGGCTTAATTTCGACTTGTCCGCTTCGACATGTAATCCACCAACTTCGATGACCGCCGGTGTGACTGGTCTGATACCGTAATAACTATAGTGCGAGTTCACTATAGCCAACGACACAGTTTTCTCCAATTCTCTGACGTCGGGTATATTAGGTAAACCCAGGTATTTCTTCATCATATCGGTTTGTTCGGCTGTGTAGTGATGAAATATCAATGTATTCTTGTAGTTGATCAAGAAATTCCACAGGCGATCGAAGAACGTGTTCACTACGGCATTATCGTTGTAGAAACCGGAGAAGAAGGCGTAACTCGTAGGATTTCCCATAATATCGTCGATGAATGACATTTGCATGGACGACATGACGATGGCCACTGGCGCTTTCAGAAGTTGGCCGAATCCTATGTAGCACGGCGAGCCAAAATACTGGAAGAAACATTAATCTTCTTAGAGTTGCAAACTCTATCTCGTCCGATCTGTCAGACTTTATGTATCTGTTCGTTTTACAATTTGAATTAATTTATTTAATTACACGGTTGAAGTAAAGTGTCGTTAACGCTTTCGCTGTTGTTAAATACGCGATTACCGTGTCGATTTCGTAAAATTCAGCAACGAAAGCGTTAGACTTAGTTTCATAGAGAGAAAAGATATTTGACGAATGAATAGAAAAATACTCGTATTCGCTACAACGTGTATTATCTTCATTTTGTTATCGTTAAGCCTTTTATCGCCTTTTATCGTTTATGTCTTATAAGACGTTTCAATCTACGAAAGTTTGTGCCGTTTATGTTTTAAACGCTTTGTTTCGCGGAGAGAGACAGGATAGATGGAAATTCGGATTCGTTACTCTTGATCTTAAATATATTCACCTCTACGATAATCAGGTCATAAGGTGGATCATTGGGTGGATTTTTGATGAATTTCTGCATTTTTTCCTGTTTCATTAGATCACACAGATTATTACCAAAATCTGTGGCTACGAAATAAGTAACTGATCGCTGTATATATTTTCCATAATCCGTGGTTATGCCGTTCACCACGGTTTTTAGGGTTCCATTTAAGTCAACGACGTCCGTGTAATTAGCCAATGGAGTTTTCAATGGGAAATGGCTAATTACGTCGACTTGATGCCCTCTTTTTACTAATTCCTTGCACAGGACATCGAACATCCTGAAATGGCTCTTGCCATTGTATGGGAAGATGCCCAAAATTCTGGAGGCATCGTTCGCGTGTATGAACAGAGCCAGTAGCACGCAGAACAATGCCTTCTGGTGTTTCATGTTCGTGCCGTTTTCTGTTGATACCTGTAAAATTATCTTCTTTAAAATAATGAAATTATACTTTTTCGAGATAGTAACGTTGAATTATTTTATACGTCGATAATACGAACTTTTGGAAATTCAAAAATTCTGGAATTCGAAAATTTCGAAAGCTTCGAAAGTTAAATTTGAGAGTTGGACAAATAACATTCCTTCCTTTTTTTTTTGTTTTTTGATAAAAGTGGCACTACTCGAACGGATGAAATTACATAAAACAGCGATATTTTCATTTACACATGAAGATCTCGTAGTAATTGTGCCGCTTACAATTATTCAGCAGTTCGTTTTATCTCCGTTTATCGTTCGAGATATTTTCAAATTATCAAAATTGTAAGTGAAAGGTTACAGTCGTATTGTATTCGTATCATTAATGAACTAACAGAAGTTTAGTAGAAAGTTTAAAAAGAAATTTATTTTCCAGAATGTAATATTGTAAAATTGAAGTTTATTCCACTTATGTAGTCGCCAGTTTAATAGATTAAGTTAATAAAAGCTTAGCTCGAGGCAGTATAAATATGTTTTCGTTGATTAGTATAATTTCGTAACACGCTTCATAAAAGATATCGAATTTGTACTTCAGTCGGTCGTCAGAACTACCAAATATAAAGTAGAAATAGTGGCAAAATAAATCATAGAAATCCTTCGTAATCCGTAAGCGAAACGATGAAAATATTATCTATCTATCTAGTGAGCTAATAGAAAGTAAACGCTTTCAACCACATTAAAATTCATATACTGAACATGACTAAAAATGGACTTCAAATTTGTTATATCTTCGTCGCATCGTTTCACATCTTAAAAGAAAAGAAGAAAAAAAAAAGTTAAAATTCACAGAAACTCACCAAAGTTTACTAAAAAGTTCTCAATTTCAACTAAAAGGTAGCTCTTATAGTAATATTTCACTCGAGTACTATATATATCAGTGCTTGTGTTTGAGGTAAAATTTACAACGTAACCAAGAAACCAAAGGTTCCGAAAGCTTGTGTCTTTCGTCGACGTTGATCTGCGACTGTTAACGTTAAGTACTTTGCTACATCTATCGTTTGCCTTATCGTCGCGTGTGTTAGCACATATTTCTCTGTATTGTACGTATACATTATACGTTCGTATTATATGTGTTTTGACTAAATTGACATATAGCAGTGCATTACAGATAAGTATTTATATCGTGCACGTCTTTACTGCCAATTACCATAGGATAATCACATATATTTACAAGGTAAATAAATAAGAGAAAATAGGGAAGTTCGAGGTATACAAGAGGTCGATCTCAAGAAGATTCGGACGATATAAATAACAGTATAGAAAAAACATCTTCGGTAATTGTTCGTTGTTGTCTAAATATTAATCCTCCATCGGTATTACGGAGGTGCCGAGTGTCGAGATCCGGGCGAAATTTTCATCGTCCAATTTCTCCGAAACGAAGGTACCAGATCCCGTGGTTCCCGCGTCTAAAAATTTTTACCTTGTTCGATTCAGTTCTAAATACCAGGAGTGAGATAAGCAGTGTTCTTCAGTAACCCATATTTTCACTCACGTCGTTCTTCTGCTAAGTTTTTTTTTACATGCATAATTATTTTTATTTTAGTATACGTAGCAATTCTTAATCCTAAAATACTTAATAATAATAACATAGTATATACGTAGGTTAGTAAGTGTGAAATATGGAGCTTTTCTTTCTCGGAGTGTCGTGTCATTTTCCAATAATAAATAATCCACTCGAAAATCTCATAAATATAGGTCAAAGAACAATTACACTTTCTTAAGCGCCGACGAATTTCTTCGTATTTCTTTGAAACATGATAATTCTATGGGCGAAATCGTACGACAACTTTTTGTAATATTTGTTTCACACGAAACAGCGTACCTTCGTGGAAATTACCATTTTATTGGAAAAATGTTTTGACATTTGGCTAGAGTATCACCTATATAGCAAGTTATAACGAGTAGCTTGGAATTCTTTTAGATTTTTCTAAAGCCCGAAACAATAAGAAATCAGGTCAAGGACGGGAAACTCATAACATCGACCGCGTTAGTAAAAATCTATATTGCCGACGGAGGGTTTGAAAAAAAGGAGAAACGAGAAAGAGCGAATTTTTATATCAACAACGACTCCAACAACGTTCAGAGAAATCTCTCATGGAGTTAGGTGGTGGAGTGCGTAAATAAATACAAGCGACGACGAGTATACGCGTCAAACGCACCGTAACAAAGTTCTTGTTTGACGTGTATGCTCGTCAAACGATGTTTACTTGTTAAACATTTCTCTTCCATAAACAAAATAAAACAACGAATTACAAGAACGATGAGAAAAACATAAAAATTTTACACGATCTTAACAAAAACCTTGCTGACCGTAACTCCAAAGTTTTTCCGGTAATTACAATTGTTTACTGCAAATGAGATTCGTTAGTTCGCAAAAATATCGTAAGTAGTATAATTTTCAACCGTGTGATAATCTTGCAAATTACGGTAGATAATTCTATACTTCTTTGACTAAGTATGAATCTATAAACCGTTTTTTTTTCAAAACCGATTTTTCGAAAAAAATAAGCTTTGAAAAAAAAAAATTAATTTTGACAAAAGTTGTAGATTCTCAACTTCGCAGACGTTTTGTGCTCTTACAGTTGCAGCCACCGAGCTGCTGTCGAGACGAATATTTAAATATGTTTAAATAATGATCAAAGTGAAACAAGTGTCCAAGGACACGCCACCTTTTTGCTTACGTTTTTCAATTTATTTGGAATAAACGGACTAGAAGAGAATCTAACAATAGCCAGCAGCAGGACAGATACTTCTACTATGAGAAGCATCGGGAAAAATTAGAAAATCACGTTTCGTATCAAACATAAAAGGGAACAAATTTCGGCAAACATAAACAGCGACGATAATGGTACTCAATGTCGGAGGTTGCTTGCCGCTCGGTGTAACAAAATCGCTTGAATATCATCGTTGCCGAGTATTGTACAATAAAAGCACAAAACATCTCCAAAGTTGAAAATTTCCAATTTTTTTCAAGATTGATTTGCTCGAAAACTACGCCCTATAGAAACAAACTGAGAACAAACGTTCGCAGCTTCGTGTTCAGTTTCCAAAAGTTTACAAGAGTCATGTATTAAAGATCGTAAAATTGAAAAAAAAAAAAAAGGAAGAGGAATCAAAATTTGTTGAACAGAGTAATCAATAGCAAAACTGTTGCTGCCAGAGCGTTCTTTCCTCCTCCCTCCTCCTTCGGAGAAGAAACATATTTTTCACTGCAAAGTATGTAGAAATATTCTTCTTCTTTTCTTCGTCGCTTTCCTCTAAATTTTTCAAATCTTTCGCAACTGTTCTTCTTCTCTTAGCCTTTGGTTTGTCTCTACTGGTTGATTTTCTCTGTTTTAGCTTGCTTTGGCGCTCGTTCTGCTTTCTCTTTTTTTAATTTTCGTTTGATGGGCGATCCGTTTAACACGTCCGAGTGTTCCCTTCTTTTCGATGCTCTTTTGGTTTCTATCTGGGTAATATTCGCTGTATCTTTCAGCGAAACAATTTTATCTCGTTCATTTTTGACCGAAACAGAATTATATGGACTTACTGTCTATCATAATGTCTCGTACAAGCTGGCTGTTGGATTTATTTAAACTTCCAGCGACTGCTGAATCGAAAGGCATCCAAAATCACCTTTCCAAAGCTTTGTCACTTTTTACTGAAAGTAAAATAGTCGTTCTTTTTCAATGTCATTTTCTAAAATTTGCGCAATATCGAATTTACATTTTTTTCGTAAATATCTCGATTCTACAAAGAAACAAAAAAAAAAAGCTATTTCCAACCTTGAATATCTCGCAACACGATTTTGGCGGTTACGCCAGTGTTGCAGATAGAATTTCTAGAATGTTTTCAATCGTTTCTTTATTACAGAAAATTATGTAGCCGTTTTGTCATAATTATCGGATAATTTATCGTACCAGTTACAATTTTTGTTCGCTCGTATTAGCAAGTAAGAATAAACTATGAATCATAACATGGAACATTGTAGTCGGCAACCTTGTGCTGTAATTACTGTCAATTATATGTATTATGAATTATACTATGCAAATATATTGCTGTTTTTATCAGGCAAGTTATCGCTTAAAGTCAAAGAAATATTTATCATCTTGAATAACGCGAAGGTTTTAAAATATTGGCTTGGCAACTAAGTAATTGCGGATTTTGTCGATACCACCTAATGACAAAATCCGCAATCGTTTAGTTGCCAGCCCAATAGTATCGTGATAACTGTACAAAATATCATACGCAAATAGCAATAGAGTGTGGTGGCGATCGTAGTACAACCGAACAGGATTTGATTCTACGTGAAAAAATAAGTCGAAGACGTGGAATAACATTTTTTCATGTGACGTTTCGTTTCTGAGAAAATCGAGTTCGAAAATTCGTGGGTACAGCGAAGTGTCGGTTATCCGTGTCCCGTTTTCCGAATTTTTAATGTGGTAAGTACGAAAGCGTAAAAGATAGTTAGGTATCATGAAAACAATTAATCTGCCTTTCAACCGATCAAGTAGTTAATTAAACTTAAAAACATGTACGACGTTACATGGTCAAAATGCGTTGTATAATTTTATTATACAATTTTTAAACGTTAAACCTTTTACGCACGATATATTTAAAAATTTATTTTTCTCGAAAATGAAGCGTTTTACGGAAAAATTGTATTCTACGTGCTTCACTTCTATTCAAATGCAGTTTAAAGCCCGCTCGATTATTTACTCTTCTTCAGTCTCCACTTACCAAGCTAAAGTATACTCGTCAAATGTCGAAAGTCGATTTCCTTGAGAACGAACTGTATATTAATGTTAATATACGAACTACCTGGTATATAAATACGATTATATAACTGCAATAACACAGCGTGTTTTATAAGCTGAAAGAAAAATATTTTTGAATATGGCAGGTGGCCTTTATGATAATTATCTGGCAGTGACGAAGTTATGTTTTGGTTAATAAACGAAAAAAAAACCTTTACTAATCTGTGATTAAAAACTGTGTACTATATGAGACGACGAAATTTGCCGAATTGCATTGTTAATCAATTTGTAAAAAGGATGATATTAAAACGATGGATGTATAGTTTAGTGTAATTACTATAAAGTGTTGTGGTTTAAAAAGTTTATCGCAACCACGATACATATTGAGTCGCTACATCGTGCTAAACACATGGTGCACGTGGTAAATATTATGTTAAACTTCGTGCACACTGATGTCTGGCGAAATTTTGTTGCACTAAATAGAAGTACAGGGGCATTGATAAATATATTTCACGGTGTAACAATACAAAAATTTAGAGGAAACAAAGTATGCCAGTATGTGGCCATTAATACATAGGGAGATACGGGATTTTGTGTGTTTTTATAGAATAAACCCGGGAGCACGATAAAAACAGAAAGAATAATACGAAAAGAATAATGGAAACGGAATAAGTAAGGAAAAATAGGAAGTTAAATTTACAACTTTGTTATCAATACGAATATTATCATAAGAAGAATAACATTGACTATATTATACAATACGTTACTATTTACAAATACACACAAATACTACAATACGTTATTATTTAAAGATAATTTACATAATTATGTAATAAATGCGTACGTACACATTTCGTACATTGGCTGTTGTTAATTATCATTAATTAATCTTGAAGTGAAACGACAATAACAACAACATAGGACACGACACGACATAATATAAACATGAACATGAACACGAACATAGATATGAACAATAAATGGTAAGAAATAATAAATCTATTATATTTAACGAATATAAATTACGGATGAAATAAAAGATTGAAATTGCTACACGTAAATATTATACAGGGTGCGGCCAAAAGTTATGCGCGAACGAGATGATATTTACAGAAGATGAGAATAAGATTTTTTTTTTGAAAGGATTAATTACTATAGTTATATATTCAGTTCGAAAGAATTAGTACTATTAGTTACTATATTACTATTTTCTTGAAAATAAAGCCTCAAGCGGAAATATTGTATTCTACGTTTTTTACTTATTTTCGCTTTGTTATCTGCAATAACGTCGTATTATTTATAAATACGTTTACAAATAGATGATTAGTCCAGTTTAAGTATACTTAATAAATTTTCACATTTGAATTTTCCGGGAACTGAGCTTCGTACGAACAAATTTTATTCTATATCCTTTTTTTATCTTGTAGATAACTTTCGATAGCACCCTGTATAATCGGCTATTCTAGATTTTACAGGTCGACGATAATAATGCGCTATAAATCAAAATTATCAACATACAGTTTCCTTCTGTTTCGCGAATCAATTAAAGCTTATCGAACGTTGCTTCGTAAATACCAATCGAAATACAATGTTATCTCGTAGGTCGAAAGTTAATGATATTGTTAACTTTCCACGTTGTTAAAAAATATTTTCCTAACCTTCGCTGTTTCCATTCCTATCTCTAGTTTCTTATTATTTATATGTATTTTGTAATTTTCTGTTGTCGTCCTATATCAATGATAAAAATTCCATTTTTTCCCCCTTCTTTCCTCTGTCCGACTATTATTCGTTTCTATATACTATTCTGTTTACAATACAATGTGTTTTGTTGTTCCATAGTACAGAATGATTGGTTCAAGGACGAACATAAATTCACCTGCCTGTTATTCGTGTAAATGTGTAGCAAATAGAGGATTTGGCTCAATCGCAAATTCACCGGAGCAATTTAATTACTTCTGTATAATAAACTCGATCAGTGATCGGTGATTGAATATAATTGACGTGTATTTAGTTAACGTTTAAAATAAATTTAATCACTGTTTGTTTTTAAAATAATTGGCTAATTAAACTAGATATTTGTCGTTTATTACATCGATATTATCGTTACACTTGCTGAATAATTAATTATACTGGTTGGTAACTGGTGGTACTAGCGGAAAGGGGGTGATTCTACGCGAAAAAAGAAGTCGAAAATATAGAATAAAAATTTTTCGTTCGAGGCTTTGTTTTCGAGAAAATCGACTTTAAATTTTGGCTCTGTACGCGTGCACTTTATCGCGTCTCGTTATAACGAATCTCTCTGTACATCGTTGTCTCGATGGAAAAATTAAAAAAAAAAATTTTTATTCTATATTTTCGACTTCTTTTCTCGCGTAGAATCATCCCCTTTCCGTCTGTACCACCAGTTACTAACCATCCTGTATATTAATAATAATATGCGATATTAATAACGCCTTTTATTTAATTCAAACATAGTTTAAAGTACAAAGTACTTAAGATCGTTAAAATAGAAATAATTGAAGACTGACGTTATCATATAGAATATGATCTACATAGATATATGATATAGAAAGATACTCTTGTTAACTTCGTGTCGTTTTAGGCCTTAAATCTTCTTAACCAACGAATAAATCATCGCATGATTTGATCGTACGTGAAATTACTTCCGAACTAATCCCTTCTGTTACGGATCACGTTGAACGGCGGGAGACAAAAAACGCAATAAAAGGAACTATTGGCGAATTACGAAATTCTGTTCGGGCAATAATTCTTCAAACTCGTGAGAGTCAATGTCGTCGAAGAGATTTATCGTTGCAACGATGGGACGTTTCCACTTACACGAGGGACCATCGTTCGAAATTCACCCAGATTTTCGTCTTCTCGCTTTATTGAAATATCGTTAACGCGTTGACACTTCCTTCTTTCTCATGCACATCGTGAAATTGTATTTTAGTGAAAATTACGTAGCTGTATATTTCCATGAATATAATCGAAGAAACGAGCAGATAAAAATATCCCCCTCCAAATCTAGTAACCGACTATCTCTCTTCGAATATTTTTGCATATTATGCGCGTTCTATTTGTTTTTGTACATTTAAGGTCCCCGAGAATGCATAAAAGCTCGCGAGCCTTTTATAATCAGAATCGAGAGCCCTTAAATGAAAGATAAAGAGAACAAGTATAGAACTTTCCCCGTTTCTTTGTTCTGACGCCTAATTAGATAATCTTGATGAATAATACGGTTAAATTTAACGAATCTCGGTTTCGTTACCGGCGTACTAAAATATTAAGTAAAACGGACTAGATAAATATTGATTTTCTTAACAAACCTGCGTTACGACGTTTCATCCTCCCTCTCTTTAACGAACGCTTTAAACTTATTTAAATAATGTTTCGACTCGAATCTCCAACCAAACGATATGTTATCTTGAAATGACAATTTGTGCATTGCTAGTGCGACGAATTATTTCTATAACTTTTATTAATTTCGATATTTTATTAATTCGTTAATAACGAACAGTAAACGAATACACGAGAATTGGACTTGGTTCCAGCTATCTGTCGTTAATAATTTAAAGAGTTGTACGTATTTCTGTTCAAGGTGAAGCAAGTATTCGTCACGGTACGTGTCAGTGACGGAATTTATTGTACAATTTTTTTTATACGAGAAAGAACCAACGAAAAAGGTCGGTACTATAAATCAATCGAGTTCCATCGATCAGCGCGGCTTAAAATTCATTTGAAAATATATTTTTTAACACACTGCGCGTTCGAATAGAAAATGAAAAATATAGCGGGAAAATTACGAATTCTGCGAGAAATCGGAATATCGGAATATTTAATTAAAACATGAAAAATTACACTCATATTAAATTCCAAACACTTTAGTCGTCTTTTGCATCCA